ACACACGGCCGCAACGCGAAAATGGCCGCTCTACACTGCTGGTTGCAAACGCAAAATACACGTCAGATACCATGCCAAATTTAACCGTTAATTATGTTTTTCTTAACGGATGAAGAAAGTGCGCCTGTGGGTCAAAACAACAGTTCTTTGGCCTTCTATATCGATGTGCAAAAGCGGCATTGCAGGCAGAAGAAGTGCAGGCTTAATTGGCTGACAGCGAGGGGCAAACAACTTCCTGAAAATTTGTACACCGTTATTTCAAATTCACGTTATTTCAACGTTATTTCTTTGTTATTTCAACGTTATTTCAAGGGTATTTCAACGTTATTTGGCGATATTTCATGTTATTTCGCGTTACTTCAAGTTATTTCAACGTTATTTCACCATTATTTCAACGTTGTTTCACCGTTATTTCACGCTATTTCACCGTTATTTCACGTTACTTCAAGGAAAATGTACACCAAAATTCAAGTTGTTTGCCCCTTGGCTGATAGCGTTCACAAGCTCGGACAGCGCCCTTCACACAAGCAACCCTTAACTTACAGCGTGGAGCGCACGGGGCTAGCTCGCAGGCGCGCGCTGCACGCTGGTAGGACGTGGTCTGCGGCTAGATGTGCAGGCCGACGGACCCACCAGCCCAGCGAGGCAGCCCGTTCCCGGCATGGCCTCCCTGGCCTTCTTCATGCGGTGCAACTTGTTGGCATGGCTGCACTGCAGCACGCCCCTGCTCGCCCGCCACCCGATTTCGTACACCTCACCAGTCGCTGTCTCTCTCGCACCCCTGCGGCACACTTCAAGAGTGCGAGAGAGACGGGAGGACGAGCGCAGGCAACGGGATCGCTCAGCTGAGGGAAAGGTAGAACAAAATAAGGGTAGGGCGAGTAATGCATTGTGTAGAATATAAATATTGGTAGAGGTAGGACAAAAAATAGGTGGGACAAACGGTCTGCCCCCAACAGAAATAATCACGCGTCGTCCCAGAAATATTTTATAATATTTTATCAATAATCAAAATATTCTCTTCTCTCCTGCATGTGGAATTTCGAATAGCAGTCTAGCTATGTGGGGTTGCGTCGCTATAGGTGCACAAAGTACTGCAGGATGGCTACCCTACAACTGTGAAACCACTGAAACTAAAGGTTCCAACCTGCTCCAACCTAACCTAACGGGCTTGCGACAGATCTTACGTCGTCACAGATCCTACTCTACTCGCGACAGATCAGAGTCTACTCGTGACGACAGATCTTACGCTACTTGCAACAGATCTAAAGACGTGACATATCCTTCTCTACTCGCGACAGATCTAAGTCTACTCGTGGCAGATCTTAGTCTACTCGCGACAGCTCTCTACTCGTGACAGATCTTACGACAAATTTTACATGCAGCTCATTATGAAGAGAGGAAAATATATTGATCAAAAATAAAAATTAAAAATATATTTCTTGGACGAAGGGCGATTATTTATGTTCACTCTAGAGCAACTAAAAATAATATCACCCATTAGTTTTATTCCATAAATATATATTAAGAAATACTATAAAACAGGGGGGAACGTCCTGACGGGGGTACGTCCAGACGTTTCCTCCCAAAATATGATCAAAATCTGGATGTAACACCTGGGGCACTTCCCTTGTGGGCGATTCCATGCCAAACCAACGAACTCTTGGAAATTCATCTCTTCGATTTTGATAAATCTTTTTTTAGGGGTAGAGGTCATTATGAAAAGATCCCATGTCAAAGGGTTTTGCGATATCTCACCCCGTTTGGCTGTAATACCTTAGCAAAGTTTTCACTTTGGTCAAAATCATGATATTTTCTTTACTAGTCTCCGTACTTACTGAAAAATTTTCGATTTTTTTCGACCGTGGTTCGTTACGTAAAAAGAGCTGGGGAACACGTTGGAAATAGTTTCGAGACGATTGGGTGAAGTTTTGATGTCGGGTTTTTCCGAGGGGGAAACAGCTTGGGAAAATTTTGTACACCGTTATTTCAAATTCAAATTATTTCACTTATTTCAAACTTATTTCAAGTTATTTCACTTATTTCAAGTTATTTCACTTATTTCAAACTTATTTCACTTATTTCAAATCTATTTCAACTTATTTCACTTATTTCAACTTATTTCACCTATTTCAAACTTATTTCAAACTATTTCACACTTATTTCAGCTTATTTCACACTTATTTCAACTTATTTCACACTTATTTCAACTTATTTCATAGATTTCCTCTCATTGCACACTAATTGTAACATAATTCAGCCGATTTCACACTTATTTTAACCATACTTATACTTGAACTCAAGCTGTTACGTGCTTTTACTCAATTTTAACCTTGCGTTGGTTAAACCTAGGGTCGCCTAGGGTCAAATTAAAACTTGCTAATCGGACCCAATCAACCTGTTGAACTTGATCCAAGACGAGAGCAGAATTCCAGCAGTGCGACTTGGTTAGTAACCGTTGTGGAAATATATTCACACAAAATCTACGATGAATTATACTGTGTAGCGACATACTTCGAACTCAGTCGTATCTGCTCTTTTAAAATTGAACTACAGGACGCTTTGTTTAACAGACCTGCAAAATTAGACAACAAAGAATCCAATTTACGCCAGAGAGAATTAATAGCATCTTTCTGTGAAACGAAATTACTTATGCTCGGCCGCAGCCGTCCTTGTCTCTCCCATAGGTCCGCCTTGAGAGCGAGAGAGACGCATGATGTGCTCGCTTCGCCCAGGCAAGCGCGCACCTCAACGCTGCTCGCCGGGCCGTCAGCGACACTGCCGGCCGGTGACGGGGACCGTCCCGGAACAGTTTGACAACATTCGGCTGGGGGGGGGGGTGGCCGGGCCACATCGCTGGTCGCTGCCGCTTTGCCAAGACCCGTGCACAGTCGCTCTCTCTCGCACAGCCCAGGCGGCGGGTCGAGCCGACCCACCCACTGCAAAACTGTTTGGTAGTAGCCGTGCCGAGCCGTGGCCTGCACCGCTCGCCGCAGAGCCCGAGCGCCCTAGGCCGGGCCGAATCGGGAGGCATTGTTGCGCGATATTCCGCGCCGTGGCAGGCGGGGAGGGATTGTCAATGTTGCGAGCAGGCCGTCGCGCGCAGGCCGTCGCGCGCAGGCCGTCGCGCGCGAGGAGGGGGTGCCATTGTTTACGCCCGGTGCCGCTGGCGCTGTACCGGGGAGGTATTGTCGAATTCCGCGCAGGCTGCGCCTCACTGCCACATCCCGCCCCGGCCCCGGCAGCCAGCCCCTATTATATTGATAGGATACGCGCTTGGTTTCTGGACTCAAGAGTAAAAGCAGACTGACACCTTCATGTGTATAGTAGTTTTAAGTATGTTTCAAGTGTGCAGGTATCATCTGCTAAAAATTCTCTAGCCCAGTGAGAGGTTGTGGTTAAGTCATACAACGTCACACACGTGCCCCCACCCTCGCTTCTTGACACATTCACATCCACGTTCCCATTGATGTTCACGGTTCCGTATGCCACCGTTCCCCCCCCCCCCCCCTTCCCAACGCGCCCCCTGGTGCTCGGGGCAGTCGAAATAACGGGGATTTCCGAATTATTTCACACTTATTTCAACTTATTTCACACTTATTTCACTTATTTCAAACTTATTTCAACTTATTTCAAGTTATTTCAACTTATTTCAAGTTATTTCAACTTATTTCAAGTTATTTCACTTATTTCAACTTATTTCACTTATTTCAAACTTATTTCAACTTATTTCACTTATTTCAAATTTATTTCAACTTATTTCCGAAAAAATGTACACCTTATTTCAAGTTGTTTCCCCCTCGGGTTTTTCCATTAAACGTAATTTTTTTTTCGAAAAATCGAGGTTTCCAAAATAGCTCATCTTCGATTTCGATGTGACTTACCTCACATGATCCTCTCACATATTGAAAGAAAATCCTAAAAGGATTTGGTCGGCCCACCGTAAATTTTTTTTCTGCACAAGAAAAGATGTATCATTTTGGGCGTTTTTCTTGAATTCTCGGACCAACTTTCTGAGTTTGCGTCCAAGCTTATATCGCGTGAGGAAATAAATTTTGTCTTGTCGAGACAAATCCATTGATATATAGAAAAGTCATTTTCGACAATTTTGAAAATTCCTCCATATTTCAGTATGAGAGAAACTAGGGTAAATTTTCAAAATTGTCCAAAATGACTTTTCTATGTATCAATGGATTCGTCTCGACACGAAAAAATTTATTTCCTCACACGACATAAGCTTGGACGCAAACTCAGAAAGTTGGTCCGAGAATTCAAGAAAAACGCCCAAAATGATACATCTTTTCTTGTGCAGAAAAAACTTACGGTGGGCCGACCAAATCCTTTTAGGATTTTCTTTCAATATGTGAGAGGATCATGTGAGGTAAGTCACATCGAAATCGAAGATGAGCTATTTTGGAAACCTCGATTTTTCGTAAAAAAATTACGTTAAATGGAAAAACCGACATCAAAACTTCACCCAATCGTCTCGAAACTATTTCCAACGTGTTACCCAGCTCTTTTTACGTAAAGAACCACTGTCGGAAAAAATCGGAAATTTTTCAGTAAGTACGGAGACTAGTAAAGAAAATATCATGATTTTGACCAGAGTGAAAACTTTGCTAAGGTATTACAGCCAAACGGGGTGAGATATCGCAAAACCCTTGGACATGGGATCTTTTCATAATGACCCCTACCCCTAAAAAAAGTTTCATCAAAATCGAAGAGATGAATTTCCAAGAGTTCGTTGGTTTGGCATGTAATCGCCCTTGTAAGACTCCGACCGAGTCGCGCGGGACGGCCGCGAAGCGCGGTGGCTGTGAAAGAGCGACTGCCCAAAACGGTCATTTTCACTTTAGGAGCGATGCGCTACCTCTCTGTCCGAATCCTTGGGCCAAAGAATTTATTCCTTTTCTTTCATATTTAGAGCCTTTTTTTTTCAAAAGCCCTTTGAGCTGAAAGAACATGTAATTTTATCGTGGGACAGTCTAACATAGGTTTACCTCGTTCCTTAGCGTTGTCAAAACTGTCGAAGAAAAGGTGCAGGTGTGCGGGCCTCCTTCTGCCCTCGACATGTTCACTCCGCGCTCCTTGCAGGCCGCCGTATCACCACAGAGACTGGCGCGCAGTGCGTGTTGGACGTCAACGAGGGGTGCTGCTGCAGGTCGCTTGCGTGGCGACTGCTGCTCATGCATCAGTCACACGGTATTTTATTAATGTGGATGATACGTGCTGGCCTGCGGCGCCTGTCGCGTGCACGTCAACTCAAGCCCACCAGCACGCACGCGGCACGGACGCAGCCGTGGCCAGAGCCATAACACCCACTTGGCACCGCACCGTCGCAGAGACTGCTCGGAGGACCTAGCTCTCAAACCGACGGAGCACTCACCGGGAATTTAAGGTGATCTCCACACACATCGGAGGACATAACCCCATAGCCTTTCGCTGTGCGCAAACGCGATATATTCCGATTTTTTTGGCAGATGATACGTTTACGTAGCAGCCTGCTTGTACTCTCGTGAGGAGGGTACCGAGTTTCCAGCTGGCCTGGCAGCGGTCGTCTCGTTTCCTGACTTAGCATGCCTAGAAGAGGCTGAGCAGCTGGCTGGCTTGCGTGGCTAAAAGATTATGAGCGGAACACCCGCAAATGGGGTGCCCTCCCCCCCAAAAAATCGAAGTTTTTCCGATCGTCCAATTCCGCTCATAAATCGATTCCTGACCGAAAAAATAACTACCGCTATTTTTTGCGCTTGGTCCTGAGACGATTTTGAATACCCCCTCAAAGGCAAAAATTGTTCTTTATCCATTTTAAACATCAGAATTGTCATTAAAATTGCAATTTTCATTGGATTTTCATGAGCGAGACGGCAAAATGCTTTGTTTTTAACGGCAAACAAATAACATTATCACCAATTTTTTGTCAGACTTCGACTTCAGTATTCTGCCAGCGATTTTAGCTGAAAAGAACACATGTTGTTCACTTTTATGAGATATTTGTCTTGTTTCAAACGGCTGAGGTCGATCCCTGTCCACTTTTTTTTATCTCACCCCATCCTAAAACAACCAGACCACATGAAATGGAGCAGTGCAAATCAATTTGCCTACCATCTAGGGGCAAGCACGGGCAAGCATTTCGTTGTTATCAATGTAAAAGAAACGCCTGTTTAGCACTGATCCCGCAACTTTCCTCCGATCTTCAAACCCGAGACGACATTGTGTTCAGTTTTTCCAGGCGAACAAAAAAGATTTTCATCATTGTTTTGCCAGACTGCGTTTTAAGGTCCGTTTCCGCTTGTAACGTGCAGAAATCGCCCAATTTCGTTTCTTTTTTGGTAAAGTTTCGACCTTTTTCTTGCCTGGGATCCCTGTGACTAGGCGATGATCGTTCTTTCACCTTCACTGGCCTTTGTGCCAGGTCTGTAGTTAAGGGGACAGTAGCGTCATTTGCACGTATTTTGACGATTTTCGAACCTCCTGTTTAGACGTTAATATAAAGATAAGTATGAATGCCAGAGTCAAACGGCAGGCTCCATTTTGAAGAGGAAAGTTCTTACAACATTTTCAAAAAAAAAATATTTTGTTTGAGCATTGAATTCGGATGTTTTGTGTTCTATGCAAAAATGTTCTGCAAAATTAGATGGTGTCACTGCGCGCACGATTGCAGCCAAAGTTTTTAACTTTTTCCCAATCGGTAAAATGCATCTGAAAAAGCATGAAATTGCCCATAAAATGACCCTTGGGTTTCAATGTTGGGCAAGAAAAACTATTGAAACGCTAATCTTCAACTTTTGATGGAAACAAACCACATTTTTTCTTGCCCAATATTGAAACCCAAGGGTCATTTTATGGGCAATTTCATGGTTTTTCAGACGCATTTTACTGATTGGGAAAAAGTTAAAAACTTAGGCTGCAATCGTGCGCGCAGCGACACCATGTAATTTTGCAGACCATTTTTGCATAGAACACAAAACATCCTAATTCAATGCTAAAACAAAATATATTTTTTTCAAAATGTTGTAAAAACTTTCCTCTTTAAAATGGTGCCTGCCGTTTGTCTCTGGCATTCGTACTTCTCTTTATATTAACGTTATCGTCAAAATACGTGCAAATGACATTACTGCCCCCTGAAGAAGAGCCAGGCGCAAGACACGACCGAACAGGTCCAGGCACGATTTGACAGGTCATTAAAATTTGTTCCTGCAAAAGGGAAAATTGACTTTTTGACCCCTCAAATCATGCGTGGACCTGTTTTGTCGTGTTCAGGACCTGTCTCTTCTTAACTATAGACCTTGCAGAAAGGCCAGTTAAGGTGAAAGAATGATCATCGCCTGGTTACAGAGATCGCTGGCGAGAAAACGCGGTGCTGTTCGTTACACCGACCGCGACATTGACCGACCCCACTTTTTTGCAGGCACTTTTTTAATTTTTTTGACCGACCCCGCTTTTTTTACGCTTAGTGTGTCATTTAATGTACATGAAGAATTTTTCCAAAATGTGAGAAAAAATTTAAACCGACCCAAAAAATGACCGACCTCAAAAAAGAAAAAAAAGTGTACTTAATTGCCGCGTGGTCCACATTGACCAGGCATGGCTCATACAGAGAGCGCCAATCGCCTACGCACGCCACATCCACCGATCCGCCCCCCTTCACGTACGGGCAGTTTCCGGTGATTGCGGGGTGGCAGGGCGCCGAGAAGCACGCCATCCTCCTCTCCTTCATGTACACTCAGACAAGGTGGTGCCCTGAAACTGACCGACCAAGTCGCCCGCCCCAGTTTTTAGGGCGACTTGAGTCGCCTACTTTCTGGGCGACTCAGTCGCCTAGTTTCTGGGCGACACAGTCGCCTAGTTTTAGGGCATCTTGGTCGTAAATACAGAGCTTACTTATGAATGCTGGCCCAAGGCGCCCTCAACCTGAGCACCTTTGGGGTTGGTCCGACCTAATGTAAACCACTGCTGCCCAGATTCGGGGCACCTATTGCGCCTAGATTCGGGGCATCTCTGACGCCACCCAAATGTGAAATCATTGAGTTTATCCATGTGCAGGCAAACTTGTGTGCAATGCCTTGGGCCAGCATAGATAAGTAAGCTCTGTATTTGCGACCAAGATGCCCTAAAACTAGGCGACTGTGTCGCCCAGAAACTAGGCGACTGGGTCGTCCAGAAAATAGGCGACTCAAGTCGCCCTAAAAACTGGGGCGGGCGACTTAGTCGGTCAGTTTCAGGGCACCACCTTGTCTCAGTGTAGGGGAGGAGGTTGGCGTGCTTCTCAGCGCCCTGCCTCCCCTCAGTCACCGGGAACTGCCTGTACGTGAAAGGGAGGCGGATCCGTGGACGCAGCGTCCGACTTCTCGCCACTCCAGAGGCAAGACATAAAAGTCACGCCAAGATTTGGTCAGTCCTGAAAGTCTCGCCAAAATTTGGTCAGACAAAAAAGTCTCGACACAAAACGGTCATACACAAAAGTCTGACCCCAAAATGGCGAGACTTTTGTGTCTGACCACTACCTAAAGGCCGAAATGCGCCGGACGGTTACGGCCTGAAGGCCGTGGTCAGACACAAAAGTCTCGCCGTTTTGGGGTCAGACTTTTGTGTATGACCGTTTTGTGGCGAGACTTTTTTGTCCGACCAAATTTTGGCGAGACTTTCAGGTCTGACCAAAATCTTGGCGAGACTTTAATGTCTCGCCATATTTTGGCGTGAAGTCTTTCCATCCAAATCAGGGTTGCCAGACCCCTAGTGCACTGCCCCGCAGCCAGAGCGCGCTCGACCCGCCGCTTCCCGCCACCTTTCAAAATAGCCTAAAACCGCCTAATGAAAGCACCATCCCGCCTAAATTCGCGGGCCAAATACTCAAAAATCAGATTTTAATGTTTAAGTCTTTAATTGTTCCGTGACAATACAAAACAATGAAATAGGCCCTAACCCCAAAGTTTTCGTCTTCAAACCCTAGAAATAATACGGTGCGGTCAAACTACCTCGGCGGCGAGGTATTGGTGCTCTCGACTTGGACCCGAAACAAGCCGAAACAGCCAAAAAAGACCATTTCGATCACTTGGAATCAAAACCGCCCAAATTTGTATCATTTACAGCCTAATTTGCGATTTCCCGGAAATCGGAATTTCGACCCGCCGACTGAGACCAAAAAATAGCCTAAGTGGCGGTTTCTAGCCTAATCTGGCAACCCTGATCCAAATTGCAGTGTCCGTAAATTTTCCATATTTTTATGGACAGCGTTTCTCCATAATTTTACGGATGGGTTTTCTCCGTAAATTTTCCATATTTTTACGGAGATTTTCCGTATTTTTACGGAGATGAACCGTATTTTTGCAGAAATAAACACATTTTAACGATTTGCTTCTCGCCTTTCACCTTCGATGTTAATACAAACAGTGCCCTTTTAGACGAAAGTGGTTATTCTCCAAAACGGTTAGAAGATCCACTTGACCACATGCCATTTGGATCGGATAAATGAACGGAAACCTGAAGGCGAGGATGCTTTAGGGTAGGCGTACTCTTGGCACACTCTGAGAAAAAATGACGGTAAATCCTGGATAATTTTTATGCCAAACTTTACCGTACTCCAATAACAGGAAAAGCAGCGATATGCATCGGCAACTTTGGCCCGTCCCGTACATTTAAAACGTACGAATTTCGCCTTTGTTTGACCCTGACGGGAATTAAACCTGAGTCTGGGGTTAAAATAAATGTCGTTTTCGTCATCAGCACCCTCAGAAACATCAGAAACAATGCAAAAACTCGAATAAAAAGAATGTTCAGAAAATACCCCGCCGGGATTTGAACCCGGGTCCGAACTTCTCCGATTCGCTGGAAACTGGCACCATTGTTTTTTTCTCGTCGCCCCGATTCCAAAAATACCCCTACATGCCCTCCTAGCTGCATCCGTTGCCGAGATCCTCCTCGACCCCATGTAGACCATGATGCACCTGCAGCAGCGCCCCCGGGGCTCGGATCGGATTTGCTGCCACCGGGCGGTTCTTAGGGTCACCCAAGGAGGCTGCATACCAAATTTGGTCAAGATCGGACCACGGGAAGTCCTCGGACGAACGGACGGA